CCGAATTCGCTTCAAGCCTTTTTTGCAATGAACCTATGGAAGTTTCAACTGTGAGTTCTTTAAAGAACTTTTTTAACCGCGTAAGCGCTGCCTTAATCATACCACGCTCACTAACTAAAGATTTTAATTCAGCCTTCATGATTACAATATATAAAATACGCAAGTCGAATCTGTTGGAAAGGACTTACTCTCAGGACTAGGACACCGGTGATGCTCACTCCTATGGACCGATAGCCGTTATGCCCGATGACAATTGCTGCGATGATGAATCAGCAAGCCGTGCTGGTACCCCATATGATGAATCGCTCCGATGAATTGATTCGGTGAATCCTTTCCGAATTGTGGATTTTGTGAACTATTGTTACACCCGTTCCCGCTGAACCTTGCTGCTCCTCTTCACCTTTGATAGATGTAAAGGTCCACTGAACCGCTTGGCACCTCTGTCCGCAATCACCCTTGTATCTCCGACCGATATACAATGTCACCCAGTTGACACAAAGTTGCGACTTGATATATCGCCTGACTTCTCCTGAATCGATGATCGGCAGGGTCGTGATGTGAATTGTAGAAAACAGTCCTGTTCCGATGGATTGCTCAGATTCACTTAACGGACCGCTGCTTGCACTTCCGTAACCGATTGTTGTATACCGAAATCCGAAATCTGGTATCCGGCTCGAAGGACCAATGTGTCGGTCGCAATAGTTATTTCTGCCCGCTAAGTCACGACCTTGCGTATGACACCACCGTTGGTGTGTTCCGATGTACCGCTTGTCAGGTTTTTGTGAGAAGTGAAGTCCCTTCCGTGCGCCGTGTCCGAAATCGCCGCTGACCTTACGGAAGGAACCGAACCGCCCCCGACAGTTTCTGCCCCCGCAGAAGGGGGTGGGGCCCCAGCGTCTAGGACGCACTCCTTCGGGGAGGGCGAATGGGCCTCTAGCAATGACCCAAAGTGGACGGAAGTCTAGCAAGCACGCGGGAAAAACCCAAGGCCTGCGCTTGCACCGCCGATGACCGTTAGATGGTCCGCTCCTTTCGCCGCTTGGAAATTGCGGGTTTATGACACGGCTTGGTTCTAAAAACCGTTGGAAAAAATACGCAGGCCTTGCTGCCTGTTTGCCAGATGCGAATCCGTTGACTGCTGCGCCTACAATGGTGCTATAAATCTCGTTAGCCCGCGTTGCCAACAAGCATTGTGAATAATATCTGCAACTCATGCTTCCAAAAGGCCATGATCATCTTCCTTGATTGCCTCCCTAAATAAAAAACAATTTCCATTATTTACAAGCCAACAAAATACATATAAAGAAAGAACATTTCAATAACCAAATAAATACCATGTCTTTTCATAACCGGTCTCCCAACGATATTCTTTCTCTTCTTCTTCATCAGCCATTTTTCAATTTCTAAAATAAACCTACAATAAAAAGAATATATAATTTGTTTTAATGAAAAACCATAATTCAAACGTATTTTCATAAGTCTATCTAAAAATATACTCACTTTAATGGTTATGATAAACTAAATCAACATGAACTAGGTTAATGTTGTTTATACTACTATTAACATATACAATGGACTAAAATCACCGTTGGAGAAAACAATAACAAGGTGATCCCATACTTTCAAATTGATGATATCGTAAAGTGATGTTTACTAAAAAAAATTCTTTGAAAAGTTAACATTAATTCATATTAATGTATGCACATACCGAACCAGTATTTTTCCGCGTGCGCTCGGTCAATACAGGAACCTATTATTTGAAATTTCTCCTCGTAAATCAGGGGAAACGCATTGTCGACAAAAGCGAAGCGTGGGCGTATAAAACTTGCAATTATACAGCTAAAAGAAAGAACAATTAATCATACACCATTCATAAATCTGCGCGCAATAACCAATGACTATTTGCGAAATCGTCTTGACATTAATTAACATAAACTTGCCTTTTCTATACTCAATACAGTGCCGGAACATGAGAGAACCCGATGAATTAAAGCGGCAGATTTGCGATTCCGCGGCTTTTTAAATCGAACTTTTTAATATATTTCCAGATGAATCGTATCAACTGTAATAATCCGGCTGCAAAAAAGAACTCTCTAGAAAATGTGTCGTCGGAAAAAAGAAGGGAAGGTGAACTGTAGAGTAATATTTTCCCGCCAAAAGGTAAGCTGTTCTCGCGGCAAGCAGGCGCCACGGCGCCACCGTCGTCAGACGCGATCACTGTTTTCATCCCATCTCGTGCGGCGACGGTAATTTTCAAGAACAAGAAAGTCTGATTTTTCCACGGTATACCAGACGTAAGTGAATATCATTGGTTTTATTGTTGGTTCCATTGAAATCAGTATCGAACAGGTGTGTTCGAAAAATATTCATGGGTGGACAGGAAGTGAATAGTCGGGGAGAGTTTT